GACCAACTCGAGTTGCAACCAGAGTCACGGAACGGATTAAGTTCGTAACCAGAGGTACCACCATAATGGATAATGCAACAAATGACAGTTAACATACACTGTAACTTAGCATTCCATTTGAAGACGGGCATTATTTTTCTGTTGCCCAAAACAGAAATCTGAACAATTTGAGATTATGCCTTTTAATGTTAACGATTTGTTAATATATTATCAGAATTAATTAGTCTAAATTATGAGCTCAAATGAGGGTGAGCAGAGACCCTCTGTTCCATTAACAGCTGCATGTAATGCACTGGAAATGATATGATGCACTACGGGTCACTCAATCAAACTTGGCTTAGTTCCTGTTTTTAGGGACCCCATCGTGCCAATAGCATTCTGCATGAAATACCAGACACATTTTATAATATAAAACAATGCTACCAACATCAAATTGCAATGGACTTTATTTCTGAACAACTGGGTTTTGCCTTTGTTTAACACTGTTTAGTGAGAGCCAGTTAAAGTGCCAGGCTAGAAACCAGGAGACTCTGAGTTCTAGTCATGCCTTAGGCACGAAGCCACGTGGGTGATTTTGGGCCAATTACTCCTTCTCAGTCCTAGCAAGAAGGTAATGGTAAACCACTCCTGAACCTCTTGCCAAGAAAATTGCAGGGACTAGCTGGCTGGGGAATTCTGGAAGTTGAAGTCCACATATCTTAAAGTTGCCAAGTTTGAAGAACATTGGACTGCAGTGTATAGAATCAGCAGCATGCAATGCAAGTTGCAGTTGCAGTTCTCCTTGCCTTCAGCTCACATCTATCCTTGGCAACAGCTTTTCCTCTTCCCAAGTCATTGTGACTCACCTGCAAGTCCTCCTTTCTCTGTCAGGAGAGCAAGTACCTTACTAGATTATGAGCAAGTTCTTCTGTGCAGTGTTGCTGGGCTGCTGCCCTCGGTTGCACTGCACGGCCACAGCAGGCAAATGCACATCTGCCTCAAACACAGCGTAGGACAATGCTTTGGTGTAGAGCAAAGCCAGCACTCTCCCTGCCCTTTCCCCCACGCCTTTTCCGTTAAAGACCAATACTATATAGTTAAGTGGCCATTGTTTGCTTTTTCCAGGTCACCTTAATATATGTCTAGATGAGTTCTGTGTGGTAAAAGTCATTGCTGAAGGCATTTGGGGTTTCCACAGTCACAACACACATTGCACTGCAGGTCTTCAGTGGGTCTTCATTATATGTTGGGGCTTCACAATATGCTCTTCTCCTGCCTGCTCACTTAAGCAACTGTTCACTTCCATTATCCAAAACTAACACTCTGCCTTTGTAATGTGAGCATCATGTTCAGATGTTGAGCACTACACTCTTCAATAAAGGTATTTATTTATAAAACAAACATCACTCAGCAGCTGTATTGTACAGCAAATGATGCTTCATTCATGCTTTGCTCTAGCTTGAAACATGTTTGATCACAATTCTCCTGATCTTGGAATTCTGACCCTTACACTCCCAGTCCTGAGCCTCTGTTCCTGCCTTTCTTTGTTCCTCAAGAAGGCGCATCTTCAGGTCTTCAACAGAGCAGTACAGAGTTAGCACAGAAGTTGTAGTTGCTTTAATGGAGCTACAGCAGTAAAAGTCATTTTTACTTGCAGCCAGATGCCACACACACAAACACCCATTTGTATGTAGGTGCCCATCATTCATAAGAAAGCCTAAGCACCATCCTTCTCTAATTCAGAAAATGCACCTTTAGAGCTTGATAGACAGGGATGGTTACACCCAGTTCACCGTCTCCCTGATTATGGAATCGACAGCAGAGCACTACACACTATGACCTTTGCCTATTTGGCTCTAGGTCAGATATCCATACCAAAGTGTCACTCTCTCCCTTTTTTTTAATTCTGCCTTTTAAAATATATTTTGGTCAACTCAAGGCAATGAACATGCCTCATACTCTCGCCTATTTTTCCCACAACAACCCTGTGAGGTGGATTGGACTGAATGAGAGCCGCTGGCTCAAAGTCACCCAACCTGGTTTCATGCCTAAGGGAGGCCTAGAACTCACCATCTCCTGGCTTGGTGGGGTCTTTCACTTTGTTCTCATACCATTGTCACTTTAATGTCTTCCAAGCTGATGAGCAAAGTCACAGCAATGAGGGAAGAGGCCGATTGGATGCATCCAAGTGTCTTCCACGCACGCCTAGGAATTTAACAGGTGGGACGTAGGTTGAAGCAGCTTGTGAGATAAGATCGTTGTTAAAGTAGTGGACCTGCCAATGCTTTTCTAATAAAAAAGACATTTAGCAGATTCCTCAGAAAAAATCTCCAGAAAAGCTTTTGGATTTTATTTGATGGCTATTCAACAACATGATTTAGTTATAGTCCCTGCTGATCAGACTTAAGTGGACATCATTCAGTTAGTCTCCAAACTGGTTGTTTTATTATTTAAAAAATCGGACCAGTAGTCACTGAAATTAAACAAATTTAGACACATCTGTTCCTACGGCATTATTTTTAGTGCTATAAATATATTTATTTACCCACTGAGTTATCTTTTAAGTGCTTTAGACATTTCAATAACCACTGAACCAGAATTCAGATATTTTAGCAGCTATGTTAACAGTTTTAGAAGTTCTGATAATTTCACAGTTTCAGCTTAATAGTCCTGGTAGTATGCCAAATTATTTTCTGTCACTTAGATCTTTTCTAATAGTTTATTTCCTATTTTATATCATAGAAAATTTAAAATGTTTGTTTTGGTTATTTTTATAATTGTACACAGTTCTGGTCACTGACCATAATCAAGATTTGATATGATTTGATTTTTGTTTTATGTGCTTAAGACATGAAAAAAGTGACTTCTTTTAATTTCCATCTTCTTTCACAAGCTTAAATCCTAATCTTCCCGTAATAGCAAAAAACCAGACTGTATGGCCAAAGAATTACATCTCTGAACATATGTTTATCACAATTTGAAGATAAATGATAGGAAATAACTGAGCAGACATACTTCCTAAGCTATCCAAAACAGTTGCAGACATCATCAGGACCCTCCTCTTTTGTGTAGAAGCTGAAAAGAACAGAACTACTTCATTCTAGTAGACGTCAAGAGAGGGGAAAGTATCTACTTTACTACCTGTGTAAAACTGCTTCGCTGTAGGGTCAGGTCTTTTTCGTGTCCTATGCACGTAAAATAAAAATCATATCAACTCTTGATTATGGTCAGTGGCCAGAACTGTGTACAATTATAAAAATACTACCTGCAAACGCATTTGCTCTCTGGGCCTGGAATTTAAAATAATCCCAGCCCTGGAAATGCTCAGGCCCAGCATCCTCTCTTCTGAAGGGAGACTAAGAAGAAAACCACCTCCTGGCTCAGGGACTGGTGGTTTAACTTTTGATGAATCCCATATGGCACGGAAGGCTCTGGACACAAGATATTTGGATAAGGAATTTGGAGGCAGACTCCTATTATGTAACTTCTTTGCAATATTTATTCTTGGCTTAATTCCCCACTTTTATTTCCTTAGCTGTAAAAACTGCAAGAAAATGTATAGTGAAACACTGCTTTTCATTTTCAGATTTACGAAAGAAACGGGAAAGAAACTGACCAGACGGCTCATCAGACAAGACTGAAATCTCAAGACTTTGATTTTTTTTTTTTTGGTCCTTTTTCATCTAGTTTTACCCAAAAGATGTGTCTGGTAGACAGAGCCACAAATAGGAATTCTACAGAGGTTCAACCTGTTCTAGGACTATTCTTGGGAAGCATCTCGTTGATGACAGTGGTTATGAATATTTTGGTCCTGTATGCAGTGAAAACAGAAAAGAAACTACAGACAGTTGGCAATCTTTATATTGTCAGTCTTTCATGTGCAGATGTTATAGTTGGTGCAGCTGTGATGCCACTAAACATTGTATACTTGTTGAAGGATAAGTGGATCTTGGCCAGAAAAGCTTGCCTGTTTTGGCTGTCAATGGATTATGTAGCCAGCACAGCATCTATATTCAGCCTTTTCATACTCTGTGTAGATCGCTACCGTTCAATCCAACAGCCTCTAAAATATCTCAAGTATAGGACCAAAACTAGAGCCTCAGTCATGATTTCAATAGCCTGGCTGCTGTCTTTTCTGTGGGTGATTCCAATTCTTGGCTGGCGTAAATTTACCAGTCACAGTAGCATGACAATGAACAATAGAACTGAGGATGAAAAAATATGTGAAACAGATTTTTGCAGAACCACATGGTTTAAAGTCTTGACAGCCACAATTAACTTCTATGTACCATCATTACTGATGCTGTGGTTCTATGCCAATATTTACAGGACTGTCCGTAAGCATTATCAGCATCGACAACTCATAAATGGATCAGATAGACCTGACTCAGGTAACATGGCTGTGCATATTGGAAAGGTTCAGGAAATGCAGAAGATTTATTCCCAAAGTTCAAATAAAGATAGAGGAATTCTTTTTAGGGTAAATGATAGCTCTGAGCAAAACAAAATAATGGAAGCTAAACTTCCATTAAGCAACTGTGTTACAATCCCAGAGGATTTTCATAAAAGTGGTGACCGTGAGGTAATGAAGCTTAACTGCTTTCCTCTGGCTATAGTGCAGAAAGATTTTGAGTTAGGCAATACGAAGAGAAAATATGCCTGTGTCAGTACTGAAAATATAAAAAATCCTATCTCCCAATTAGGCAAAATATCACATAGGCAGAGTTTTGCAGAAAGTTCTTTGTCTAGAACCCACTCAGATCCCTCCCTAGAGCAAAATTCTTACACTGAGCAGTGTTTCCCTCAGAAGTGTTCCCATAGAAGAGGTCTTCTAAGTCTCCATCACCTGAAAAAGACACGGGGAAAGCTACAGACTGATTCTGTTTGCCAAAGTCAAAAGTTGCAGGTGAACAGGGAGAGAAAGGCCGCCAAACAGTTAGGTGTTATAATGGCAGCTTTTATGCTATGCTGGATTCCATATTTTGTATTGTTTATGGTCATGGCCTTTTGCGAGACATGTTATAACCGTCCTTTTCACATGTTTACAATATGGCTTGGCTATGTGAATTCTACATTAAATCCATTTATATACCCACTCTGTAATGAAAACTTCAGAAAGGCTTTCAAAAAAATATTTCATATTAAAACTTAACTTATCTTGGAGAAAATTATACTGGGGACAGATCAGCAGGTTTACATTGGAAAGAAAAATTCTGGTATTATTTAAAAGTATTGTAAACGAAGTAAACGATCATTTGGAAAAAGTGGAAAAGGTAAAGAAATCACCAGAAACTTAAATTCTTTTATAATATTTAGATTTTATTTACAAACATACTTTACAATTTGGAAACAGATCGCATGCATCCTACAGTCAGGAAATTTATTGTCCTTAGGTTATCAAAGAGAGACAATCCTGTTCCCATTTATGTTACAGCATCCAGTTCAGCTCTGTCTGATTCATGGTAAAGGCAAAATCTCATTTAGGCTCCACTTTTGGTGACTTCATGGATATATCCATGCTATTTTTCTGGACAACAGTACAGAAGTGGTTTGCCAGCACTTTCTTCTGGTACGTTTTCCACCTTTGCAGTCTAGCCTCTAGACCTGGAATTCCCTGATAGTCTCCTTGCCCAAATACTAATCATGAATAACTCTGCTTAGCCTTTTCAGGATCAACCAACCTAGATGCTGCCTATCTGTTTCACTCTGCCGCCCAAGATGCTTCCATTGTTCTTTCTAAAGTAAAAAAAAAAAAACCTTAGGCTTAGCCACCCATCTAAAGAGTATTCCACATTCAGCCCTTTCAAGGGAAATCCAGGAGGTCCTCACCATTAAAAAAGCATCCACCAGCCTTTCTGAGCCATTAGTGAAGCAGTTTGCCTGACTAAAAGAAAATTGGGCAAGCGTGACTTCTGGAATCCTTCCCAGACCCTGAATGACAGCCTGCTCTGGGACAAATGATCAGAAGGGGACTTAGAAGGAAGCCGTTGACCACATTCAGAGCTCCTGCCCAACTTTCTCTCCCATGAGGATGCTCTGCAACCCTTAGCCTGATTTGGCCGTTTTGGAACTCAATATTTTTTAATTGCCTTCTCCCCCAGGCTGAATTTGTTCAGCTCAGTTTTCAGAGGATTATCATGCTGAAAGGTGGACAGATAAATTCCCAAGCCCCATTACATAATTTATTTCCAATATGGCATTGCACTGGAAGGAATAAAACAAGTTAGGGAAAGCATGCTGAGCATGGTTTCTGGATTTTTTCCCAACCCCTTTCCAGAAGTGGCCATAGGAGACAACTATATTTTCATGTGTGTAACAGAGTAACATGGTTTGTGTATGTGCATCCATGTTCATGTGCTCACATACTGGAAAGCGTAGGGTGGGTTCCAGTCTGGGTCACATGACCAGGAGGGATGGGGGCTTATAATGGAGCAGTCGGTAACATTCCAAGTTACTAAATGCTTCTCCCATAGGAAAACATAGGTATTATAAAAAGAATACCATAGGTATTCTTTTTCTGGAAAGTTTTTCTGGAAAGTTTTTCTTTACTCTGGTGGATTGGACTGGATCAGATCTGATCCATTTCTGAACCTGATTTTGGGGGGGGGGGCAGCTCCTCCCACCACAGAAAATTTGGTCCCATTCTATTCACTTGTCAGAGAGTTATTCTCTGGTAGAGATTGATGGCTGTATCCTGAGCCCTTTTACAAAATTTCTTTCCAGCACTCCATTGGGTTAGAAAGGAGAACAAGACAGAGAAAGCATCCTGAGCATGGATGCTGGAGTTATATCCACTCTCTTTACCAGCAGTGGCCATATGAGGTTTCAGGCTGTTCTGTGTAACAAAATAATGTTTTGCATGTGTATGTTTTTGCTTCCCCCTCGTATTATGTGTGTCCGTGTGTGCACATGCACACGTGCCCTGAGAATCACAGGGCAGGCTGTGTAAACTCTGCTTTAGCTCCAGAGATGAGGAAGGAGAGGGCCTAAGAACAGAGCAGTCAGCTGCATTTCAAGCCATAGCCCAATTGCTGCTCCTATAAGGAATTTTTGGAGCTTTTTTCCTCCACAGCCCATTTTTTTAAACTCAGTCTTTCTTTTGCTCTCATTCTGTTCAATTTTCAGAGAATTATCAGGCAGGCCACAAGTCCCTTTATTTTATTTCTTTCCAACATTCCATTTGGGTTGAAAGAATAAAAGGCCAGTAGTGAGTATACATGACAGTGTTTTATTTGTTTGAATAAGATCTATAGCAATATAGTTTGCTTTCTTTGAATGAGATATCAGTCTTTAGAAAATTTATATAATAGCACATTCATGTAATCTAGAGTCAGATAAACTCTTTGTCCTGGGTTATCAAGTTTCTTCATACATTATAAAACTCTGTGGAATGTGTACCATAAAGTTGTTATGTCTGAAATGCTCTTTTTTGTTCTATTAACATATAATCATGCATATATAAAGCGTAATTGTTTATCAGTTAGAAATCTGAACATCTGATTTCCAAAATGGGTTTCAGTATTTATGAAACTAAGTCTAGCATTTAATGGGGAAGGATTTTCAATGAATATACTAAAAAAAACCCCAGTATAATTAATTAATTTAAAGTTAATTTCCGGTATCTTTTTTGAAACACCATAATATATTTTTCCATCAGTTACAAACAGAGGCTTTTTAAAAGAAAGGCTTTCAATTGGGACTATCTTGCAAAATCCCAGACACACCTTACAGTACCTGATACTGGTGTGAACCATTGGCAAGATGGAAAACATTTGCTTGAAATGGATATTAAGCTCCATGAAGTATGAGTTCCTATTTTTTCAGAAGATCAATTTAAGAAAATCAATGTTTACATGTTACTGAAGATGGTATATTCTTGTAGCTTTTTTATCTTTTTTTTCCCAATGCTATCACCTTCCAGAGATCTAATAAATAAAAACACGTAATGAATGTATGGTTTTCACTGCATCCACCATTTTATGATGCTGTAAACTCTGTTTTTATTGAAACAGTATCAGACACTAGCAAAAGGAAAAAGACCTCCTTTCTAAAATTAGCTGTCATTCTCTAGGCAGAAACCATTTTTGAGCCTAGTTTGGTTTTAATTTTTGATATTTTCTTGGCAAATATCATGTTTTATAGGTATTGTCATCACTTTTCCTCTTATTACTTTTTTTTAGATTATTTTTTCTTAAACAGGGACATGCCCACCATGGGAAGTATGTTTTGTTTCTAACCCAAAACACTGTGTTCTGGAAATTTACTGGTCTACTCCAGATGAATCACAGTTTGGCAGAAACAAAACCTGGAATATTTTTGTTGCACTGGATTTCTGGTGAAACAGAAGTTGCAGGGATCCCTGAGTGGGTTTATGAGGTAAGTAGGATAAAGCTGGTGCTCACTGTCTCCTCAGCAGCTCCCAATCTGGCAGATGTCACCACCCTGGTCTTCTCAGGGCTTTGTCTTGCCTTTCCTCCCTCACGTGCCCTTAGCCACCACCAACGTCCCAGGCATGGCACAGCCCACTGTCTCATCCAGAGTAAGCAGTTAAAAAACAGGTTGCTTTTTTAATATTCAGACTAAACCTCTTGTAGGGATAGCATGTATTTTCCATTATACTTATGAGTTACAAAGACAGTGTGAAATTTAAAGGTACTCTTTGATAAATATATTTATCTGTCCCTCACCTCCCCTATATTTCACCCATATAAACTCTTAGCTTACCAGGATGTTAACTCTTTTAGGGCCACAGCCAACTTAACAAAAAAACCAAATTTAAATCGGCATAACTATTTACAACCCATTCTTTACATGCTTCTTTGTCCCAGTGATTCTCTGAACACCATATATACCTGCTGGGGGAAGACTTTAGAGCCAGAGAAAATGGAGGTGTCTTTGATCACCCAGAAATGGGACTCAGGGGCTGAGGTTCACCCTGGTTGGAATGGTGGTTCACTCATCTTGAAAAGGCAGATTTGTAACATGGGGTCCTCCTAGATCAGTGTTTCTCAACCTTGGCAACTTTAAGATGTGTGGACTTCAGCTCCCACATTAAACTCAGTAAGTGCTGAAAACTGAAGTTGCGTGTGGCAGTGAAAGAGTTAAGGACATGATAGCTAGGGGAAAAACTCTGCGGTGCCCCCCTTTCTTTGGTTCCCTAAACACAGGATTGTTTTGCTTAATGGTTAATCCAGGGCTAGGTATAATGCATAATGATCATGGTTAATTTACAGGTAAATTTGAATGGTATGAGAGCTATGACTAATTTCTTAAAACATCAGAACTGTTAAAATTGAAAACACATGTAGAATTTCACAAGAGTTGTTTGTTTTATAAATCAATGGAATATATGATCTGAATTCTGAATATTTTAATACATTAATGAGATTGTGTATAAAAACTATTATAAGGTTAACGCCATTAAAAAGAATGTTAAAATATGTTTGAGACATGACTTTGAATGATGTTCAAAATGGTCTTGCAGCACTTATTGCACAGCAAATAGGTGTTATTCCCCCTACCTTCGATGAACACCTTGTTCCTAATATTGCCAAGTTTCTAAAATTTGATTACAAGGATGATCCTAGAATTACAGTCCTCAAGGAGCCTCTTATTTCAAAAGGTTTTCATTATGTTTTGATCTTATAAGTCAGTGTCACTTCTTAGTTGCTTTAGTAGCAGAACCACAGAAAAGAGTAGGAATGAGCAGAATTCCCTTTATCTTCCTGTGCTTCCCATTCAAATTAGATTTAGCTTCAAGATGCTAGAACTCTGTCAGGAACAGCCTATCCATAAAAATATGGTCTCTTCCACTGACTGGAATTAGATTGCATCTTCAGCCATTCAACAGGAAATGGGCAAGTCATTTCTGTGGCTGTCTAGAATGGTTTCCAATTAAGTTTGTTTGGGATCCTATGTATTTTCATACACAAAAGTGAAAAATAGCATACTTCTCATTTCACACTGGATGATTCAACAGTCTTAAAATGATTGTTGTAAAGAAGTCCAACAATAGAAAAGGAGACACTGGACAAGAGGTATAAATATCTCAAAATGAGGGACACTGTGTATAAACCTTGAATACCAAGTTTGAAGAGTCATACTATAAATCAGTACTGTCCCCACAGATAGTGTACATAACACTGCATACAAAGAATAGCATGACTGGGAGAAATAGGGGAACCATTATACCATATAAAAAGGTATCCAAGTTGCCTGTAAGAATTCCAAAACCCATATTAGGGCAGGCCATGTTACAGGTCAGAAGATTGCAAGTTTTTGAATTCTTCAGTAGTTGCTATGCTGTGGGGTAAACAAAGAGAAAAGTGGGAGGAGAGACTGACTGTCACTGAAGCCAAACACACAGTATTTGATCAAAAACTCAGGATGGTATGTTGGAGGTATTTTATAATTGTCATAGTTGGCTCTACAAGGAACTGGGGTTGTTTCAACAACTTGGACTTTTCTTTGGACCACAATGATGAAGGGAAGCAAGCAACCAACCAATGCGCAAATAAAAACCAATTGTTTATTCAAAACTGTCTAATAAGATAACACAGCTGCTGCTAAGGCATGAATGTAGTGCTAGCAGAAGTCTTTCCAGAGACAGGAGGTCCCACTGTGCTGTAAAATTTTCAACAACACAGTGTGATTATTTATAATGTTAACTGGAGGATAAGAGAACATAAGCTATTACCATAGCACTTTCCAGGAAAAAGAAGTCCTATGGGAAGACCCTCAATAAGTAGCATGGAAGAAATTCAACTTTTTCAGACAAACATGGGTCAGTATGCTACATATGTCTCCCAGTTGGTGGGATAAGGACAACAGTAGGTTGGTTTATAAAGTAGTCTCTAGACTAGAGATCCTAGCTTGCATACAATAGTGTGAGCATGCTTGAGTTGCACTGGGCTTGAGTGGCATATATGCATAATGGCCAAAATGTGCCAAAACTGACTAGTAATGTCCATATCCTTTAGCAGTGAATGCTGCATATGGCCTGCTCCTGATAAGTTAGTCTATTCTTTCTCTAAAATCATTAGCCTTGATTGACCAAAACCATGACGGGTGGCAGCAATCAACATCTACTGGGCTCACTTGGTAGAGACCATGACATGGAAGATTGAGACATAGAATGTATGAGGAGGAAATGGAATGATCAAGAGCATGAATCAACAAATGAAATGAAAGAAATAATAGATGTGTGTAAAAATCAGAAGGAACAAGATGTAATAGAACTGAATGAGGGTGATCTGATCTTAAGAATTAGAGTGGATATGTGCAGGGAAGTGAAGGTATAGGCTTCATTATGAATGAAAAAACTAAAAGGTATGTCAAAAGGTATGAATTGGTATCATCTAGATTATTGTAGGTACGTATGAAAGTAGTTTGGCAATAATTATATGTTATGCTTTAGTGAATAGTGATAATGGAAAAATCAGGGATGAATTTCACGAAAAGTGTGTAATATTCTGAATGGATGCGATCCACAGGAAAAAATAATTCTGCTAGATGACATGAATAATAGGTGGCACAAGATGAGAGAGTACAGAAAAAAAAATCCTCTACCTATCATGATTTTGGGCAACTGAGGCTTTCACATAAAGATTTTTGGTGAAATAAAGGAGTAGACCAGTGTAGGTTTTCATGGCCAGTATCTGTTGGGCAATGTTGGGTTTCAGGGTTTAGTGACCATAGTCTAGACAACAGATTTCCTGATGTTCCTCTGGCAACTTTGGCTGGCATCTTTGGAGGCAAGGTGGTCTGCTACATGTCTGCCTGAAGCCCAACACTGCCCATCAGTAGACAAGCTTACTAGCCCTGTCATACCATGCCACATACAGCATTCCCTGATTAATGGGAAGCCCATAGTGCTGGTCAGTTTGGACACATTTTGGGTAGTATGCAACAAGCACAACCAAAGCCCAGTTTGATCCCAACTATGCTCATGTTATGATGCTATGTAAAGTAGGAACTCAAATCTAAAGATTACTTTGCAAGCCAACATATTGTTTGTCTACTGGAACAAACATCAGGTTCCTGGAAATGTGCTTTGAAATCAAAATGCATTAGTCCAAAATAAGATGGATCGTGTAGGTTCAACAAGAACCTTATATACGCAACGGCACTTTGTGTTTGCAACCTACCTCCCTAAGGAATAGAAGAGATAGCTTGACTGGATGAAGGAGGGCAAGGATCGTTGTTTCCGAATAAGAAACAGGATTCTACTGAAAGCCTTCCAAATGATCATTGCATCTTTTATGGAATAATATATAAAAGGGACAGCTATAACCACAGGCATCCACGGGGGTACCAAGGGGGACAAATGATGAGACATGTACCATATCATCACCTAAATTATGCAACTTACATACTTGCAACAGAAGTCAGGAAGCAAGTGCATAATTGTGTTACATGAAATATCATGATCCACATGTCATCATTTTGATGTCTCTGGGGCTTGTTAAAGATGCCTCTGGCTTCAGGAATCAACATTTAAAGTTCATCAACTCAAGAGCAAATGTAGAAGCAGCAGTGCACAGCAGTGACTCCCAATTCCTCCTCCTTCTAAGACTGGCTACCTTAGATGAGGAAATCTAAGTATGAATAGGCATACCCATAATGTATTAACAGTTTTCTGGGTAGAACATCAGCAAGGCTTTTATGCATTACCAGTAGAAACACTAATGCACTATATCTGATGATAGGGCTCTTCTGCACAATCTTCTGGACACGGCTGTGCAACACTTCAGTGGTAGCACTGAGAAGGTTTAAAGAGACATCACTCTCAGTCTGAAGAAACAACCCACAATGATGCTTTTCTGCTCTACTTCCACAGTGTTTTCTGAGTTGCATCATCACAAACGTGGTTGTAATTTCTCTCTGTGCTTTAATTTGACCTAGATAATCCAATATTTATCAGATGCTGTAAGGAGCTCCATGGCTATTTTGGGATGCCTACATCCAAGGAAAGGAATGTGCCCATGCAAAGCCTGAATTCTACTGTGCTTTATAAGGCACAGCTCAGCTATTACATGGCTTCCTTCTATATCTCTGACAAGCAGTGCTCTGAAGCATTAATTATCTGTTTCTATCTGCATTCACAACTACTTTGTTAGAGCAGCTGATAGCTTGTCAAAGCGGACTGGTGACCACTGGACTCCCCCCCCCATTTCAATGGTGAAATTCTTTTGTTTTTTTGTTTGTTTGTTTTTAAATAGGTGAATTTGACAAGAATTGCCAGTTTTCACTTCCAGTCTAAACAACTGAAAGAAAGGTAAAACTATGTAATTTTTTTCCCACTGGCGCAGCAACAGAGGGGGCTGATGCAAAAGACCTATCGTGGAAACCACATATCCTCAATGACCCACCCACAGAAAGGAAAGCTATTGGAGCTTGCTTTCCCAGCACAAGTGGGAGGTTAAAAATGGAGGGGAATCCACCAGGTGGGGTCTGTGATAAGCACTGGCTGGTCAAACACCTGGTGAGTGCTGTTGCCAAATTGAAGAATGGATTAAAACCTGGACAGCAATTATTTCTTCTTCTCCAGGCAGCTTCATCACGTGAGTCAAGCAGCTTGGGTCTGTTAATCTCATTTTTAGGTTGCCCCAAAAGAGGAAATTGATCATCTTGTTCTATTTTGGGAATAAAAATAATATATTTCCATTCTTGTCAATCATTTCAAAATCAAAATAGCAGCACTTCTTTTTTTTTTTTTTTTCAATAATGTTATACTTCTGTTTTTTCACTGAATTGAGGCAACACTATATCAAACTAAGAAATCTTTGCCACTTCGTGTTTGTGGTAGAAATCACAAGCCTCTGAGAGCTGCATCCGTATGGGACATCACGGTTATCTGTGAGCCAAACATTTGCGGAACAAAAACCAGAAGTCTATGCAATCCAACGTCCCCAGCATGAATCAGTTTCTCTGCCAACTAAGCCAGCGTTTGTGTTATGAAATTAAAACCCTCTGCCACTTGACACCGGTCCTCCTCTGCCAATTAGACCGGCTTCTGTGAGCCACAAGGCTCGCCCACCAAAGGGGCGCTCGTGGCACGAAACCCAAACTCCGCGCACCGAGCGCTTCCCTTCCCGCGCTAGACGCCCGGGAAGCCCCTGGCCACGCCTCCTCCGTTTATGAGCTCCCCGGCCACGCCTCCCTCTTCCCACCCGCCCCTCGGAGGCCGAGCATCTTTCCGAGCGACCGCGGCCGGGAAGCGCCGCCCCGCGTCCTCCTGG